TGTTAAAGGGTTAGTTCACCCAAAAATGAAAATTAGCTAATGATTTACTCACCCTCAAGCCATCCTAGGTGTATATGACTTTCTTCTTTCAGACGAATGCAATTGGAGTTATATTTAAAAACGTCTTGGCTCTTCCAAACTTTATAATGGCAGTGGGTGGGTATTATTTTTCAATAGTCCAAAAGAAGTCAAATAAAGCGCATCCATCCATAATAAAAAGTGCCTCACACAGCTCCGGGGGGTGAATAAAGGACTCCAGTAGTGAATCGATGTGTTTTTTTTAAAGAAAAATATCCATATTTAAAATGTTATACACGGTAATCTCTAGCTTGCGCTAACTGTCGTTGGATTTGTAAAGAAACAATTCGGAGGATTTCGATATAAGCCAAGAGGAGACTGGTTTTCCTTTGCTAAAGTAAGGAAACTTTGCTTCCTTTGCTCCTGTAAACAAACGTTGGTTCTCACGAGACTAGCATATTCTCACGACGCCGACTTCCTATGTCATCCGGCTGGAACGGCATTATAAAGCTCGGAAGAGCCAGGACTTTTTTAAATATTACTCAGATTGTATTCGTCTGAAAGAATAAAGCCTTATACACCTAGGATGGCTTGAGGGTGAGTAAATCATGGGGTAATTTTCATTTTTGGGTGAACTATCCCTTTAATTCTTGTTTATTAATAATACATTAACTAATGTTGATTTAACTTAAAATGTTATAAATGTATTTGTATATGTAGAAATTAACATAGAACCAAAATGAATTGTTGTAAAAGTATTTTTTGTTGTTCGTGATTCCTAATGCATTATTAACTGATGTTAATTTATTATGAAGTGTTTCTATTTTTCACATCACTGTCTTTCTGATGCACTGTTTTTCTTTTTTTCATGCAGCAGCCAACAGGTGTGTTTAGCCGACTGGGTGAAGCAGAGGAAGATGAAGAGGGTGGAGGAAAGACAGATGGTGTTGCAGACGCTTTCGAGGACAATGACAGCGACGGTGAGGGCTCGGTGCTGCAATATGCCGGCGTCCTCAAACGACCCCCACCCACTTCTAATAAAGAGACTGTAACTGCCAAATCTAAACCCCTCACTCTGCGTCGACTAGGCGCAAAGTACAAACTCCCCTTATCTGAAGGCACACCACCAATCTCCTCCAGCCAGAAGGGGACACCCAAACTGGGTGTACTGCAGAGACTGGGCAAGGCCCCGTCAGTCCACCCTACCTCTTCGACCCCTCTAGTCAGTCAGCCCGCAGACACCCAGGACAGTCGCGTTACGAGTAGCAGAAGCAAAGCCCAGGGCAGCTTTGCTCTGGCCAGCCCTAAGGTCAGTAGTAGCACAGGTGACACTCACGGTGCTCAGATGGACGCTGGGGCAGTCAGTGTATTCAAGAGACTGGGCGCCCGGAAAACCTAATACCCAAAAAACTGAAAGGCACCCCTTTTTTATCCAGTTTGCCCCTTTTATAACTTAAAACCCACCTGAATTTCCATTTGAGTGGAGAAACTCTAGGACCACACTTGATGGATTGGGAAGTCGAAATGCTGTATTTCATGGAGTGTTATGAATTGATGATACTAGGGGAAAAAAGGGACAGCTGCAATATCTGTTAAATGTAAGTGTGGACATACCTGTTGTCCTTATGTTTGGTTATAGGAATCATGCTCTATCCCCCTATCCTACTTTTATAGCTGCTCTCCTGTGCCCCTGTGAGTGAACATTTTTTCCAGATTAAAGGGGGTTTGTAATAAAGATTTTATAATGCATGGAGCCCAGCATCAAATGCTCGAAATGTCAAGGTTTTTTTTTTCCCACTACGATAGCCAAAAAACTTAGGTAAAAGCATGTGCTATGTTTACCACAAACACCGCAGCTTACCGATTCCTCCATGAAGTAATCTCATGTTCTTACCTCCTAGTTTTTAAAGGGATAGTTCACAAAAAAATTTAAATTGTCATCATATACTCACCTTCATGTCATTCCGAAAATGTATGATTTTCTTTCTTCTGTGGAATTGTTTTTTGATAAATGGATGTCAATGGGCACCAGAATGATTTGGTTTTCAAAATTCTTCAAAATATAATTTGTGTTCTGCAGAAGAAAATAATCATACAGTTTTGGACAAGGGGAGGAGTAAATGGTGACTCCCTTTATTTTTTGCGTGAACTATTCCTTTCACGTCACAGGATTTTTATAATAAAGAAAAAGCCTTACGTTGGCTTAAAACTGCACACATGAGCATTTCCATTAATGCGCCTTAACCTGCGGTCACACTAGACTTTTAGAAAAAAAACAAATATATATATATACAGTATATAACAAGTAATACATCCAAAATGAGAAAACCTACAGTCTACTCCCTTTTCCTGCAACTCTGCAAACCTGCAGCTTTACAGTTTTTTTTTTTTTTTTTTTTTTTATTCAGCTGAGAGGTCACAACATGATGTGTTTTTCTTTTATTGGTGACTATAGGAATTCGCAGTTCACCAAAGTATTAGACCTTGAAACGCCCAAAAATGCAAATATGTTTCGTGTGAGCTTGCGTTTCCGGTCTCCCGTGCTCACATGCATACAAATGAAATTGAAAAGTGTTGTGTGACCGCCCCTTTGTGACCACAACTGTAACCTTGCTCAAAGACACAAAATCGTAATCCCGATCTGTGTTAGAGTCTCTGCTCTCAAATTTCCGCATTTAAAATGCCATACAATGGAAATTTGTGTTGTTAAGCGTTACTTGGACAAGCAGAGCAAATATAGCATTGGTGATAGCATGCTGTTGCCAAGCAACACACGTGGAGGTGGACCCTTGTGTATTGTATAAGTTTTCACCCCTTTGTACTGTTCACTGCAGTAACCACTAATCATGCCGTTGTAATAGGAATTCACCTACGCTTTGTGTTTTGTCATGTTTCCTCTGTTTTTTTTATAAATATTATAATTTTAAGCATCTCAAATGCAGAATTTCGTTACATTGTTATGTTTAAGGAATATTAAGAGAGATAAAACATTTTAAGTGGGTAAGTTTATAAAATATTGATGAAGATTATTTGTCTTGGGAATGGATTGAATATAAAAAGATAAAACCGAAAAATCTTGAATTGTTTTTTATTAACTTTATACAATTTTATATGAAGTGCATAATTGTTGTTAACATATAACAACTGGGTTTTGGAGCATATTCTAATTGTGTCATCACATTTATAGTTATAATTACATCCCTTTGAATTTTGCATTGAAAAATGCAAATTAATCTGCACTCCTCTCTGAAAGAGATGGCCCTTTTTCCATTTATGGGGTTGTGTAGCAGAGCACAAGCAAATTGACAAATGAAGGTCTGCAATCATTTGTATGAACCAGCATTAATATCCTGCATTCTCACATTTGAGACTTTTACTGCATAATTAGTTTGATAAAGGTCACTATACAGACATAATGATATGATTTTTAGTTCTTATTCGAAACTGATGTGCTAGCAAAGAAACGTTGCACTGAGTTGCGTTTAATGCATGCTCTAGTAAATGACGCAGATGGTGAGGACTACATAAGCCCATATGTTTCCAGTGTTGCAGTACACTGAGCGATTTGTAAGAGGATCTCAGCAGTTCATCACTGTTCAGCATTTGCCTCTTCATGCTGACTCTGTTTTTTCTAGGCTGTGTTATTAATTTAGCCTAGATGCAGTATGTAGCTGCATTACAATTTATAACTACACTGAAAAGATTTATTTGTGTTTTTATGTTCTTATTAACTTAATACATGAAAGCAAAGTAATAGTAGCTTTTTAAACACTACTGGATAATGCTATCTCTTGCATTTTATTAATGATCTTTATCTTAACAAACCTGTCAGCTTTATGCAAATTGTCATATAATCGCTTTCAGACTTAAGGGAATATTTCACCCCAAAAATAAAAATTTGGTGAGCAAGTAATGTAATGTGAAATTTTTCCAAATCTGTTCCGATGAAGAACTCTTCTACATCTTGGATGGCCTAAGGGAGTCAATTTTCAGCAAATTCATTTTTTTCAGTTCCAGCTCCGGGAAAATTAATCATTCAAGCTCCCAGGGAGACTATTTCCACTTTGATCTTGAAGCTAATTTAAGGACAAATTTTACATGCTTCATGCATGTCTTTTTGTCCTGTCCTGGTCTCAGCTGGTGTGAACTAGCAGACCATTGTGAACCAGCAGCAAACCACCTACCAGCTGGTCATAACATCTCAGTGGTTAAGCTATTTATTTATTTTTTTTTTTTTAACATGGTAGCTGATCAACCAGCTAATGATCATCTTAGACCAGCCACCATGTTCCAAATCACATCTACCAGATAAGCTGGATTTCCCAATAGGTATACCACACAGTGTTGCTTGCCTGGCTTGTACTTTTTAATGATAATGACGTAAAGATGACCAGCCTGTGCATATTTCATTCATATTTGGCTTCACGACGTTTGGAGATTTACCGCTGCTCTTTAATGTAATCGTGATCCACCAGTAGCAGCATCATCTCACGATTAATTCCTTCCCATAATGCCTCGCGCTAGTGCTCGTTGGCGCTGTCTGTGGTGCTGAAGCTGCTCTCGCCGGCGGAAAGAGTCCTCCTGCTCCAGCATCACCTCCATGCAAAGGCGTTACGCGCTGGTCAACGAGAGACAGCCGCGATCACCTATTTGAGTCTGTTCTTTGTTTCTTTTAATGCGTTTTAATAGTCGGGGCTCTTTAGGGTTGTATTTAGCTCCCCCCTGGAAGATACTATCCGGTCGCGCTTGAGTTTTTCGGCTCCAGCTTGGCAAGCATCCTTTATGCACAGCACGCTGCTCCAGCCCTTAAAGCGAACACAGGCATCCGTGTCGGAACAGCATGGCTTCCTGAGCGAGATGGAAGCGAAGCAGCACTCGATCAAGAGCCTGAAAAGCTATCCGGAGGCTGGGGGCCGGAGTCTGGCGGCGGCGGCGGGTGGGGACGGCGGAGGTGGAGGGTATCGCGTCGGCGGCGCGGAGATGGAGATGGAGGCGAAAATACAGAAAGCGATCGACTTCAAACTGGAGGGTCACCGATGCTACAAGGAGAAGAAATTCCGGGAAGCTATTGGGAAGTATCACAGGGCGCTGCTGCAATTGAAAGGGATCCATGTCGTCGACGGGACCACCGGATCCGAGGTGAACCTCCTGAACCAAGCCGCGGCCAAGCTGACGGAAGAGCAGCGGCGAGCGGTGGAGAGCACCGAGATCGAATGCTACGACAGTCTGACAGGTGAGACTCCGATCCCGCGAAAACAGCCGCTGCCATTGTTCTGAACGAGCCACTTTGCTGCATAGAGGGCCAGGTTCTTAAGAAAAAGCTTTAATATAAATACAGACTTATTCCACAGCAAGAAAACGATTGTTTTGTATAAAGAAAACACTGAAAACAATCAATCAAGCCATTGTTTGTGCTTAACGACCAGTTTGGCCTTCATTGTTCCTTCCTGAGCCAGTGGGATTCAGCCAGTGTCATAATAAACCAAGTTCATTTAATGTCACGTTGTGATTATTTGAGAGCGCGAGAAGATTAGACTAATAATAAACGTAACACGCGAACTATATTTTAATACGTAGCCTAGTAAGCGCGCCAATCAGTTTATTTCATTTTTTACTTGCCTTTCAAGTTCTAGGTGATGTGAGGTAAAGGTTGGAGTATCAGTACCAACAAGGATAACTAGCCTACTTAAAACAGTTGCAACAATATAGCTAGTTTTGTTTGTAAACCCGGAAGAGGAGAAGCGCGTTCGATACGGATTCCATCGGGAATTTACTTGGCTTGTTTTTGCAATAGCGGGTTTCAGTTGTTGTGAAAATAACGTGTTAACATTACTCGAAAAGACTTTCCCGCTTTATTCTACAATATAAATTACTGAACGTCACACCTCTGAAATAAAAGCTAAAGACTATAGGCTATCAACATGCTTTTGTTTGTGTGGATAGGAAATTTTATATATATATATATAGCCTATATAGAAAGACTACAACAAATGTTAGAATCGTCATGCACATTAACTTTTTTTTTTTTTTAACATGGTAGCTGATCAACCAGCTAATGATCATCTTAGACCAGCCACCATGTTCCAAATCACATCTACCAGATAAGCTGGATTTCCCAATAGGTATACCACACAGTGTTGCTTGCCTGGCTTGTACTTTTTAATGATAATGACGTAAAGATGACCAGCCTGTGCATATTTCATTCATATTTGGCTTCACGACGTTTGGAGATTTACCGCTGCTCTTTAATGTAATCGTGATCCACCAGTAGCAGCATCATCTCACGATTAATTCCTTCCCATAATGCCTCGCGCTAGTGCTCGTTGGCGCTGTCTGTGGTGCTGAAGCTGCTCTCGCCGGCGGAAAGAGTCCTCCTGCTCCAGCATCACCTCCATGCAAAGGCGTTACGCGCTGGTCAACGAGAGACAGCCGCGATCACCTATTTGAGTCTGTTCTTTGTTTCTTTTAATGCGTTTTAATAGTCGGGGCTCTTTAGGGTTGTATTTAGCTCCCCCCTGGAAGATACTATCCGGTCGCGCTTGAGTTTTTCGGCTCCAGCTTGGCAAGCATCCTTTATGCACAGCACGCTGCTCCAGCCCTTAAAGCGAACACAGGCATCCGTGTCGGAACAGCATGGCTTCCTGAGCGAGATGGAAGCGAAGCAGCACTCGATCAAGAGCCTGAAAAGCTATCCGGAGGCTGGGGGCCGGAGTCTGGCGGCGGCGGCGGGTGGGGACGGCGGAGGTGGAGGGTATCGCGTCGGCGGCGCTGAGTTGGAGATGGAGGCGAAAATACAGAAAGCGATCGACTTCAAACTGGAGGGTCACCGATGCTACAAGGAGAAGAAATTCCGGGAAGCTATTGGGAAGTATCACAGGGCGCTGCTGCAATTGAAAGGGATCCATGTCGTCGACGGGACCACCGGATCCGAGGTGAACCTCCTGAACCAAGCCGCGGCCAAGCTGACGGAAGAGCAGCGGCGAGCGGTGGAGAGCACCGAGATCGAATGCTACGACAGTCTGACAGGTGAGACTCCGATCCCGCGAAAACAGCCGCTGCCATTGTTCTGAACGAGCCACTTTGCTGCATAGAGGGCCAGGTTCTTAAGAAAAAGCTTTAATATAAATACAGACTTATTCCACAGCAAGAAAACGATTGTTTTGTATAAAGAAAACACTGAAAACAATCAATCAAGCCATTGTTTGTGCTTAACGACCAGTTTGGCCTTCATTGTTCCTTCCTGAGCCAGTGGGATTCAGCCAGTGTCATAATAAACCAAGTTCATTTAATGTCACGTTGTGATTATTTGAGAGCGCGAGAAGATTAGACTAATAATAAACGTAACACGCGAACTATATTTTAATACGTAGCCTAGTAAGCGCGCCAATCAGTTTATTTCATTTTTTACTTGCCTTTCAAGTTCTAGGTGATGTGAGGTAAAGGTTGGAGTATCAGTACCAACAAGGATAACTAGCCTACTTAAAACAGTTGCAACAATATAGCTAGTTTTGTTTGTAAACCCGGAAGAGGAGAAGCGCGTTCGATACGGATTCCATCGGGAATTTACTTGGCTTGTTTTTGCAATAGCGGGTTTCAGTTGTTGTGAAAATAACGTGTTAACATTACTCGAAAAGACTTTCCCGCTTTATTCTACAATATAAATTACTGAACGTCACACCTCTGAAATAAAAGCTAAAGACTATAGGCTATCAACATGCTTTTGTTTGTGTGGATAGGAAATTTTATATATATATATAGCCTATATAGAAAGACTACAACAAATGTTAGAATCGTCATGCACATTAACTCATATCGTTGTGGTATTTGTAGGCTTTATTTAAAAACGTGTTATCAACTTGTTTTCGAAACAGAACAGCTTCAAATTTGAAGCTTACGGGAATTTTAAACACGAAGCAAGCAAAAGCATGATATGGCTTCTAAATCAAAGTCTAACAAGTATCATTTTATTATGGCTATGTGTAGTCAATACATTCTCCAAGCATTTATTGCGTCTACAGTCTTTAAATTACAAACCCTATGTGATTAAAGACCAATGCATATTGTTTCCCAAATGCCATTTGATGTAAACTCTGTTAGTTTAGTTGTTGATAAACAGGGGATAACATAAAAAGGATCACAGATGCCAACTGTGTTTGCTCATTGCAAAGAATATTGGTTAATACTCATGCACATCTGCTTGAGCTGGATGGGTGTGATGCCTGGTGTTCATGGCCCTTGATGTCTCTGGTGGTCTCGCATGGTGGTTGATTTGAGGTTAGGCTTGAATGTCACAAATGTGGCAAACACTTCAGGCCCCCTGGGGGAAGCATTAAGGTGTGAAAGAGAGAAGGGTACATTTCGTTTTGTTTGTCCTCCTGTAGTCATGATGATGAGGGTGAGCTGGAAATATATAGAGAACTTATGTAAAGGCTTATATAAAGATGCATTTTATAGTTACATACAGTGTTTAGGGCCTCTGAGGGTTGAGATGCACCTAGGATGCAGACGGAGTTTTGTGTTTCGTCTGGGTTTTGTCAACACTGTACTTTCTTTTCGTCTGGTTTGGATGACTTTAGGCATCATAAAGACTCATTCTCAGGTTCTCATCTGGTGATGTATTGCCACAGTACTTGATCCATAATACAACTGATTTTAAATGCAAAAATTGCTTGCTGTATTGTGCCTACATGGAGTTCTGTTTCCAACAATCACGTGACAAGTAGCCCATTGCTTGTGTGCTGTCACTGGCCTCACTGACTGTACTAGGGTGGTTTGGGTTGCCAAGTATAAGGGGTGATTGGGGGGAGGGAGAGAGCAAATAGAATAGCCTACTGTGTGATCTGCAAATCTGAATGATGCCGTTGTGTGTGTGTGTGTGTGTGTGTGTGTGAGGTAAAGGGCCTTCTAAACTGGGTTTGTTCTGTATTGTTCAACTTCAGCCAGCCACAGCAACTCCTGCACTCTTTTACAAAGCCTGCTGAGTCGTCTCTAGCAAACACACCGGGTCTTGGCTCAGCAAAGTGTCATAAGTCAGTTTTGACAGGACCAAGAGACCATACAATATGCTACGTCTGAAGCTCAACTGAAAGAGGAAGATATCAAAACACGAAACGGCTGAGCAAAGAGATGTGAGAGCTAGCTTGCAAAAAAGTATACACTCTAAAAATGCTGGGTTGTTTCAACCCAACTTTGGGTCAAATATGGACTAACCCAACCGTTGGGTTAAATTTTTACATTACTTTAACCCAACGGTTGGGTTAGTCCATATTTGACCCAAAGTTGGGTTGAAACAACCCAGCATTTTTTAGAGTGTAAGCTTTTGTATTGTTTACATGATGATAAACAAAAATCAAGAAATACATGTGCCAAGTACAATTTCCTAAATCTGTCTGAACAGCAAGAAGATGAATGCTTTATTTGCCATCCTTATTCATAACACCATAAGCCGTGCATTCTCAAGAGGACAGGACAGCATTTCTAAGTGGGTTATGCATTTGGTCGAAACTTATTTTGGTAGTGCAGTTACGCAAGATACAGAGAAACTCCTTTTCAGCACACACCTTAGACTAGCTGTTGGTTGCTTTTTAATCTCACTGAAGCTAGAAAATATGAAAAATAATGTATACAGTGTCATATATAGCTATTAGTTTACATCGTCTACTCACCACAGCCAAGAGTATCCGTTAGACTAACATGCTCTTCAGTAGTGTATGGTGGGAAGAGTGTGCATTGGATTAATGTGTTGTGATTTATATTGCATTCTGTCAAACCACCGTTCGTTCAAGGCGGTGCCAGATATAAGCGCTGAAACTGAGAGCTTGTGAAGTCACTGCGGCATAAAATCAACACTGTCATTTTAGCACATTTCAAGCTGTAATATCAGAGACAATATTGCTAATGCAAACAGAATGAAGCTGTTTGGATAAGCTTTTATTTTATTATTACTCACAAACCCAGCTGTTGTGCTTTTATTAGGCTCATGTTTCGACACGTTTTCATTTCAATCTGTATTTTTATTGTGTTTTCAAGATACATTTTCTTGAAAAGCAAAATTGCAAAACATAATTAATTTTCTTTTTTTAAGTTCAGAGAATAAGTTTGGGTTCAGTAATATTATAAAGAAGTCTCTTATGCTCACCAAGACTGCATTTATTTGATCAAAAATAGGGTAAAAATGGTAAGATTATGAAATGTAATTATAATTAAAATATTAAAATAACTTTTATTTTAATA